GCTTTTTGTGTATCGGCATTACAACAACAATAAGTCAAGCTCACTCCGTAACCAAGCACGCTGAACAGTGAACACCTTCTCATAAACAGAATTAAAAAAGAAAACATAATCCTGATGTATTTCAAATGTATTAGTCTCCTACAAGAATAGAGTAGCTGTTAATATTGATTTGTTATTAATTGCGGCAAATGCACATTTGCTTGCAGTTTTCTGACTGAAGGCATGCAATGCACAGCCATGGATCCATGACAGCATTCTTGCTACAAACATGAAAAGTCAGAATTTTTTCTCAGAATTATTCTGCACAGCTCTACCACTGAGCAGCTGATGGGAAAACCCCACTAAATGAAGTTGCTCCCTTTCTAAGCTTTAGAGGAGGCTTTGTTGCTTTGGGGGGGTGGTGTGGTGTGCTGGTGGTTTTTGTTTGTTTGCTTTCAGAGAACAGATCATATTTGAGATCAGTTAGTTCTCGGAAATAGCCCAGGGAACGTGTTTTTCTTTTCTTAAGATTATCAGTGTTGAAAAGTTAAGTCCCTTACCACAGCAAACACAACTTTATGTTGTTCAGATCAGAATAGCTATTGTATTCCTTTTTATGAATTCTCAATTCTAGTGCTCAGCATGAGGTACAGACCTTTTGTGGTTTTTTATTTTATTATTCTTTGACCTCTTATAGTATATACATACACTCTCACGCTCGCACGCTCACAGACGTATGCACACCCTTAACACAGATGATTCTGCAGAAAGGAACAGGATAGAAAGAGACCGCAATACCTATATGCGTACCATAATTCACTGCAATATGAATTATAATATACTTGCTGTTACCAGATTTAAGAATCTCAATGAAAAATAAAGATCATTTTGAAGTAGTGCTTTGTATCCTTGCCAAAAGTAACACCGTTAAGTAGTTTAACAGATTCTTTACTGGCATAAGACAAAAAAACCACCCAAACCAAAAAGCTGCTTTTAAAGGTAATTGGCAATTAATGTAATGACTACCTAAAATATAGTTTCAGAATAATGTTTTGAATGTAGTTGTTAAAAAAAAAAAAGCTTCTAAAACCCATACTCAATTCAGTGTTTGTTTTACTTTTTTATTATTTAAATACACCATACTAGAGCAAATGTCTCTGAAAATATCACAAATAAAAGATTTTTCTTCATTCAGCAAATTAGAAGTAGGTGAAAATTTCTACACAGTAGCTGCTATGGGCCTGATTTTTTTTTTTTTTTTTTTTTTTTTTTTTTTTGCCATGGGAAGTAGCAACATTAGGACAAAAACACTTACATGCATACATACATTGTATTTTACAGAGATACAATAAAAGTGTTTGTGATAGAATATCACAAAAGCCACATCTTTATCTCATGTTCAGTTTGAAACACATTTCCTTACAACACTTAAATATACAAAGAGCAAATAGAATGTTGTTAAGGTAAAACACAGGGTACAAACTGGCCAGTGCCCTGCTAATTGTTAATGAGGGTAGAAAGCAGATTTCAATGCTTCTTTTAATTAGCTTCATTAGTCATCTTCCCCACCCGCCCCCCCCAAGATGTCCTCCGGTGGATCTTTTTTCATTTTCTCTACAGTCTCCCATTAGCCCAGGTTCATGGAGTCCTTAATGTTCATATTCAGTCATTTTAATACACCAATAAATGTGGGAAGGGCAATCAAGAATAAAGAAGGTGCAATGGTATGGAGCTGGCATTGATGCTAGCTACAAAGGTGACTTGTCTACTTGGAGACATGGGATCCATCTGTGATGAACAAAATTTGAGATGAAGGCACGCATTCTGCATTACTCTGACCTTTTAGCAGACCTGTAAGAAATAAAAATGGGTATCTTAGCTAGAATACTAAATTTGAGATAGGAAACTGCAACATGACTGCTTTTGTCTTTTCCTTATTCACTAATCTCTCTTTTATTAGATTACTTTCCAACTGTGACTTGATTAAGGCTTTCTACACTATTCATTCATGCTGCTAACGTTTCAACTTCAAATAGCAAAAAGCAAACACTTTCCGCAGTTTCACTACTAAAAAGAGCGGGGGATGAGGGGGCGGGCAGGGGGGAAGACAACAAGAAATAAGTGTACTTTCTGGTAACAAATTGTACAGTGAATAAGGTGGTTTTTCTGGGCCCCTTTTAAAAGGGAAGAAACATTACGCCATGCCTTTGAAGAAGCCAGCAATATGATCTTATAATTGGAAGAAATAGTGTGTAAAGCAAATAAGAAGTACAGCCAATATCCTCCCAAGGCAACTTTGGTTAATATGCTGCATTGCACAAGAGCTAAATATAGATATTTCAGGATTTTGCCCCCCCCCCCCCTTTAAAATTCCTCATCTGGTATGTTAGTTAATGTTACATAAACATTTTAATATATGAAGTCAAACATGCGCTTTCACACTGGTGTTAATGAATTGCGATAATTAAAAGTGTCTAACTCAATAAAAATCTAAACTTTCATGGATAAAATAGAAATGATCATCCATAGTCTTCAAATACAATCTGTTTGCAATTACCAAAATGAAATAATATATATTAGATTTTTATGGTTTTTAAATGACATTTTGCGCTTCCCAGGAAGTTCTTTTTCACCCTTTCTCTAAGTTACTAAAAGCCTGAGGTCTATTAGTAACTGCAACCCCCCACTTTCAAGCTAATTAAAGTAGTAGAGGCTTGGAGGTTTAATTCCCCAGAGCTGAAGCTCAGTGTGAGAAAGGTAATTTGTCTGTCCAGAACAAAGATTAGGGAGCAGCCAGCAAGCATATTTAATAAATGAGCATCAAATATCTTCTACTATGGACATAGACAACACCAATTATGTAACTACAAGGGGATTGTTGAGTGATATGTAAACTAGAAGATTTTTAAGATCTTCTCTGATACGTAATCTAACTCATACTTTATTTAAAAGTATAGAAGCTGAAGACATGTTTGCTACGAACATTGCCAACCAGTAGAAAATTTACACTTTTAGTAGGTGGTAATACTGTTGCAGACAAGAAATACTACAGGAATACTACCACTACAGAAAAAGCCTAGAGAATTCTTGACAGTACAGCCCCTTCAAATGAAACAGCACACAGGACATCACAAACTAAGAGTTTGCATTCTGTAGGCAAGCAGTACCGAGTTTAGAGAAAACAGGGGTTTTTTTCAAACTACATAGCAAGTAATGGGAAGTTATAATTTACATGTGTGAATTGCCTCAGGGAGGCAAAAGGCAGGAATAGCCAACATCACTGCATCTGCCTCCTTAAAAACAAAAGCAAGTTTTTAAACTAAGTTAGGTCATGCAATCCTTTCTGCCAATCACCAATAGCTATTAACCTATAAACTGTATTAAGACAATAGTGAGTTCATAACTGTCACCTTCACATACACAACAAAAATGTGGTTTAATGCTGGGAGTATCTCTCAAACTCTTCAGTTTAATAAAAAACCCTGTGGATATTCTGCTATGTCGATAATCTCTAGTGGTAGAATAACCTGGAGACTGATCTTTAATGTTTAGTAAAAAGTACCTGTTACAGCCAACTCTGTCATAATGGAAGAACATTTTTAATTAGTGGCCCTAAAACACACAGCTTTCTGGAAAACATCTCTGATGTAAACATCTTTAGCCTGTTAAAAAGCCAACATATAACACACAACCCTTTTGGCACCTGCCCCTGTAGCTTCCCAAACTCCAGAAATCTGACAAATCCATGAATTATCAACCTGTCTCCTCAACTATATTTCACTTTTCTGGGGCTCAGGTGCTCCGCAATTTCGCTTTGAAAACTGCTAGGAGAACTTACACTATTTTCTAGAGCGATTATATTATAAAGAAAAAAACCCCCAAACTATAATCCCTCCCCCCAATCTTCTCCCTAATACCTCTTCATTGACTGTAGCAATGCAGTTAATAGTCAGTGACAGGAACTAATAAAAACCTGTTCTCACTATTTTCTCTGCATTTAGCTTCTACCAAGTGTCTACAGCCGTGAGCTCTGCAAGCCCAGTCCAATATTACTTCTCTTTTCCATGTTCTATGTTCCTCATCATGTCTAGTGCTTTTACTGCAACTAAATCATTTTTATGTTTTGCTAAGGCATAGTAAGAAACTGATAAAACTAAATGACAATTTAGACACCTATTTGAAGTTACATTAAACTTTACATTCGTAGAAGACAAGTGGATAAACCACTCTCTCAGAATGGTAAACCTTTTACTGCAGTGTATAAAGATGAATGGTTTTACCTATATTTTGAAATGGGATACCTACAAATATTCATTTAACAGATTCACTGCTAGCTAGTCTATATTACAGATTTGTTTCATTAAAATTCACAACAGTATAAATCTATGAATCTTTAACTGTATTTGTACTTCCTTGAGAAGAGGCTGCACATTCTCCTCCAATCTTAATTATCTTTGTTCTGCCTAACTATATAGGACTTTTGTACTCAACTCTCTCATCACCTCGATTGACAAATTAAGTAAATAAAAAAGGTCCATGTTTTATTTTGATGTAATTACATTCACTGTATAAGACTTGAAAGAATACTTAGAATTAATCAGTAAATTTATGCACAGAAAAAAAAGCAAACAAAGATATTGAAATGTAGCAACACAACAAAAAAAATCATGGAAATTAAAAACCATTTTGTGTTTTCTTGGACATATTTCTCCACTAACTGAAAGCACTAAAAAATATTCTGTACATTACAGAATAGGTCAGCCTAGCATTTGTCCCAGATTTTTTAATCTTCCAAATTCCTATTTGCAGACAAATGTTATTTTTTGTGATCCTTACAGACATTAATGAAGTTCCTATTGTAAATCTATAAAGAATTACCAACTGAAGTGTGCACTTTTTGTTTCATTGCAATAACTCAGTGCTGTGTGATTGCCTGGGTTAATGATG